CCTGGATGGGGCTCCATGGCTGGCTGGTACCCCAGGGGTTGGCCGGTGGATGAAGTAGATATGCAAAAATGAGTTTGATCAGATACACTCCACCACAGAGGAGTTCGAATTCATCCCTAAGGTATTAAGAAACCAAAGAGCCGAAGAATTTGATGGCTGGCTGAACACAGACACATTCTGGGATGCCTCTTATAAAGGAGTTGTCTAGTTCTCCCAAACAGAGAAACTAACAACCATATCTGTATATAAATGGCCCAAGTTCTTCCTTCTCTAGTACTTTCTAACTAGTGAGATTGGGGACCAGAGAAGTCTATATCACTGTTAGAAACTGACCTTAGCCTGCCCAGGACACTAGGTTCCATCTTCAGTACCAAAACAATACATTAAAACAAAAATGGAAAAGAAAAGAGGCTGGGATTGGGATGGGAAGATGGCTCAGTGTTAGAACGCTTGACTTGCATGCATGAGGCCCTGGGTTCGATTCCTCAGCACCACATAAGCAGAAAAAAAAACCCGGGCGTGGCACTGTGGCTCAAGTGGTAGAGCGCTAGCCTTGAGCTGAAGAGCTGAGGGACAGTGCCCGGGCCCAGAGTTCAGGCCCCAAGACCGGACCCCTCCCCCCCCAAAAAAAAGAGGCTGGGAATGTGTCTTAATGGTAGAATAATTGCCCAGCATGCATGAAGCCCTGGGTTTGATTCCTCAGCATCACATACCCAGAAAAGGCCAGAAGTGGCACTGTGGCTCAAGTGGTAGAGTGCTAGCCTTGAGCAAAAAGAGAAGCTCAGGGACAGTGCTCAGGCCCTGAGTTCAAGCCCTGGGACAGAAGAAGAAAAATAAAGAAGAGGAGGAGGAGGAGGAAGCAGCCTGTAATCCTAGCTACTCAGGAGGTTGAGATCTGAGGATTCTGGTTCAAAGTCAGCCAGGGCAAGAAAGTCCATAAGACTCTTTTTTTTCCCCCCAGGGGCTTGAACTCTGGGCCTGGACACTATCCCTCAGCTTTTCAGCTCAAGGCAAGCGCTCTACCACTTGAGCCACAGTGCCACTTCCAGTTTTCTGGTGGTTTATTGGAGATAAGAGTCTCACAGACTTTTCTGCCCAGGCTGGCTTTGAACCATGATCCTCAGATCGCAGCTTCTTGAGTAGCTAGGATGACAGGTATGAACCACCAACACCCGGCTTTCCATGACTTTTTTTTTTTTTTTTGGTCCGGTGGTGGGGCCTGAAGTCTGGGCCTGGGTGCTGTCCCTCAGCTCTTCAGCTCAAGGCTAGTGTTTTACCACTTGAGCCACAGTGCCACTTCTAGCTTTTTTTTTTTTTTTCTGCTTATGTGGTGCTGAGGAATCAAACTCAGGGCCTCATGCATGCAAGGCAAGCACTCTACCACTGAGCCATCTTCTCAGCTCCTTTCCATAAAACTGGAAGTGGTACTGTGGCTTAAGTGGTAGACCTCTAGCCTTGCCCCGGCCAAGAGTTTAAGCCCCACAACTGACAAAGAAAGAAAGAAGAAAGAAAGAAAGAAAGGAAGGAAGGAAGAAAAAAAGAAAGAAAGAAAGAAAAAAAGGAAGGAAGGAAGAAAAAAAGAAAGAAAGAAAGAAAAAAAGGAAGGAAGGAAGGGAAATAAGTTAATTAAAGAAATGGCTTTGAGCAACAGCACTGAGTGAGCAAGGTACTGCTGCAAGCATTTTGAATGTGTGCGTTCTTGCTACAGAGTGCTTGTTTCGGGGAAATGAGCCTTTCCAACCAGGTGTCCTGGAGCCCCAGGGCTGTTTCTTCCTCAGTCATCCCACGTACAGTCCTGATTTCACAGAATTGCCATCACAGCCAGTCTTCTCTCAAGATATTCAACACTGAGAGCTTGTGCCTACTGCTGGCCTCCCCGCGAGCCACCCAGCACTCTGCCTGGTGCCTGGCCTAAGCTGGCCCTCAGTGCGGGTTTATGGAAAGGATGAATGAACCTGATGTGTCAGAGCGCTGTAATTCACACAGCACTCTCCCATCCATTAACCTCAGGGCTCTTCCCTCCGAGTTCTCGTCTTCCACTGGCCTCTGTACAGAAGTGTATGGCCACAGCAGCCACGAAATCCTTCCTGGATGAGAACAAGGACGAGCTCTGATTGCAGAGAGAGGGGGCACCCATGTCAGGAAGCTGCACACGTCTCTGGGACAAGGCTGAGGTCTCCTTTCAGACGCGCTCCAGGCTTTCACCCTGCCAGCTCGCCTGGCCAGACACAGAGCCCAAGAAGAAGCCAAGTGTCCTTGCTACAGCTCTCCCAGAGGCCGGGAGGAGAGCAGGGGCACAGGCCGGCCCCACTCCTACCGCACTGTGCTCTGTGGAAATCTTTTTCATCCTTTTTCTCTCTTTCTCAGATTTCCCATGAGGGGAAAAAAAAGTTATCATTCCCATCTTCCAGCTAGCAAGACAAGAAGGCAGAGCCTGAAGAGACCGTGTGATCTGACCAAAGTTAAAGTCTCAGTTAGTCCCCCAAATGTGAGATGGGACAGATTAGGGACCCCTCCCCCCACTCCAGGGAAGAGAGGAGCCAGCTCTCCCATTCACAACCCCCAAACTACCCTGTTCCCTCCCTTACCACAGCCTTGCTATACTCAGTCTATGACATTCCAGAGTCAGGGAGGACCCACAGCCCACCGCCATGGCGGCCTGGCAGGTGGGTGATGCTTCTTTTGGGTATCACCCAGCGAGTCCCCAGGTGACTCGGGCAACCCCACCCCCAGCCTGCCCTTTCCTCGATGCCCACGTGAGCCATGAGCCAAAAGCAAATCCACCTTTGACCTCGGGCTCCTCTTCTCACCTCCCCCCTCTCCCCCCTCCCACCCCAGGGAAAGTTCAGACTCCCCTACACATCCCACTCAGGGCCGGGCCATCTGGCAGCGGGCTGACCCCTGACAAATGCTTTCTGGAAACTCTCCCCGGCTGGACGCTTCTTCCCGAGTCTGACCCGGGCAAGGAGGGGGTGTGACCACCTCGCTGACGGTTTCCCACTCGCGGTCCCGAGCCGGCCGGGCCCGCACCGCCCCGGGCTCCCCCCCACCCCGCCCC